ACTCGCACAGAATAATTCACGGTCCCAAGGTATCTGTAGTCCTAATCGAACTGGCCTTCACAATCGGGGCTGATCCTGAAGGCTGCGGGGTCAACGCGGGGCGATTCTTCTCTGCCGCAGACTGAGGCTGAGAACTGCAGGATGGTGTCGGTCCCTTGAACAACTCGCGGAGCTTGGTCTGCACCTGGTCCTCAGTGATGGTGTGTCCGTTTGAACCTACCTTCTTGAATAGGGACCCGATCATCATCAGGGGAGGTAGTTCCTGAATGTTATTATCTTTGTCCGTGTCGGAACCGATATGTGACACATCGGCACTTCCACGTCGGTGTAGCCCAAATTTCAAATTACATGGAACCACCGCCTGTGCAAAAATGTGAAGCGTGTTATGTAAACGCATCCAGGCGACGCCCCATAGTCGCGATGGCTGCGGACGTCCCCCTGTAATTCGAGCCCCGTCCGAAGTTGTTTTTTTCGAACTGTGATAAACCAGTCTCCCCGTCATCGTGGTCGCCAAAAGCTCGAGAAGCCACCATACCATTTAGAACAATTGGCCGAACTCTTTCGCCAACTTTCGTCTCCGGCCATGGGGCCCTCGCCCCGACCACACCACGCTGGAGGTAGTTGGTGTAACGGTCAACACTCACGTAGGGCAAGGTCGCGCGGGGTACAAGTGAAAAGCTCGCTGCGCAAAGTTTGCCCTTTTCGCGAAGAACGCATACGTATAATTCTCCGCGAAGCCCTTCGGGATTGCATGCGAATCTCCGGCGACTTGCAATTTGAATTCATCATGGTTTCCGCTGATGGTATGGTAGATTGTGTCGTTCTTCTTGGTTTGCCACTGTTGCCTTTGAGCGCGACCGATTTTCCAACGCGCGCGTCTCAGAATTCACGCGCCTCGTTTTCCCGATATCCACTTGGGGATGTTTCCACGCAGGTCCTGCGCCACCCCTCCCGAATGCGCGCGCAACGTGAGACACTCATGGCTGGCATGGCCATAGGGAAAAAAACCAAGAGCTCCACGGATGGAATAAGTTGTTCTGCTTAAGGAAGTGGCACTCGCCAAATCGGCGCGCACATTCGGCATGTATAATGTAAACTTTGCAGGGCGCAACAGCAAAGTTGATTCGCGTCTTTGAACTCCATGGAATGAGATGGTTGTTTTCCAGCGGGTCACTTCCAGCACTGGAACCAAATTCCTGTAGGGAGTCGTAAAGGGGGGAGCTTGGTGCGGGAGTGTACTGCAACATCTTTGATGCGCCTTGGGTTCACGGTGGTCCTCCTCCTCCTCCTCCTCCTCCTCCTCCTCTTCCTCATCCCCGTCCCCCTCCCCCTCCATATCCAGCTCCAGTGTGTCCTCCTCTTCCTCTTCCTCCTCGTCCTCCACTTCCTCCTCCTCCCCCTCATCCCCCTCCTCCTCCATCCTCCTGGCTGTCAGTTCACAACTCGGGTCTCCAGCGGCCGTTCGGGACGACGACACGGGCACCCCCAGAACGCTCTCTGCAGCAGCCCGAGGTTGGAAAACCCCCAAGGACTTGCAAAAAAAGCCCGACAGCCTCGAACCTCCTCCACCTCCTCCACCTCCTCCTCTTCCTCCTGTCCTCCTCCTCTGTTCTCTTACGTTGACCAGACCTGAATCCTACGATTGTGGCGTTCTTGCAAAGACACATGCAAGCACTGCAAGCACGACTCGGCGGGCGCCGCGGAAACGGTTGGAAGGAGAGACTGCGGCAATCCGAATAACAATTGTAAGCGCCCGCCAGATACGGCAGCATGTGCCTTAGTAGTATAAGCACCCGTACAAGAACCATCGTATGGTTCAGCTCGATGAGTGTCCCCACCCCCTCGCACTCTGCACATGCTGCTGAAAGACAGAGTGCAGCAATCGGCTGAACACTGTGATGTCGAGGCCAAGTGTTGCCTCGGCAGGTCAGGGTGCGAGCTCGAAATACTAAAACTGGCAAAGTGTCTTGCTGCATCAGCAAGCGCGTGAAGGTTCTTCCCGCGTGAGCAGATTGCTCACGTGCCCCCTATGTGCAATTCTTGGGCTGCTACCCTTAGCCAGTGAGCCCCCCTCGACCCCAGTAAGCTACGATCCATCCCCCTGTAGGCCACCACGTGCAATTCTTGGGCCACTGTGTTGCAGCAGGCACAGAGGATTGCCTGAATAGGCTCCCCTGTGAAAGTAAGCGTGGAGTATGCAAGGTGGAGAAATCTTGGGCAACTACCCGCGTTCTTGTTCGGTTCCTCGGGGGGAGCCCCCTTCACCGTCCCAGTTCCGAGGGGGACCCCCCGTCACTGTTGCCACTAGTGTGGCTTGGTCCCCCCAGTGTGCGCACGAGGCAGAGACGGGGAATACTAGGTCTGTCGGCAGAGGAGGAAGTGAAGAGTGCGTGCAATTCTTGGGCTTCTACATTGGGCGTGCTATAAAGAAACGCTGCTGTAACTGCAGGCGAAAGGCTGGCCTGCGTAGGCTGGCCTGTCGGGGTACTGGCGTGCACGCCTGCGAGAATCGTAGCAGATACCATGGTCTCTAAAGAAAGTAGTGGAGAGCAGGCAGGGCTGGCCAGCGTATGCTGGCCTGTCAACGTACTGGCGCGCGGGTGTGCGATTTGAATGTAAGTGCCCATGTGGAGCAAGAAGCAGCGACGGGTAAAAAGAGGGGAAAGCAGGGGCCGTGAGCACCCGAAGGAGAAGAGAACCGAAACCCTATGCATCCAGCGGGTGCAGAGGATGTCGGCTGTCATCAGGGGTCGGTCGGGCACGGCCCTTAGGATGGGAGGGGGTCCAAGTTGTGCAGCTTTATAGGTCAACTGAATTGTTTTAAACAGAGGTAAGTTACGATTACGACAGCAGGAGTATGGGAGTAGGCTTGTGTCGGCTGGACTGTTAAATTGTGCTGGGTACTGCGTGAAGCTGGCACATGATGCAACTATTGTGCTGCGAGGGTTCCTCTGACAAGTACAAACTCTGCTGCTGTGTTGGAGCAGGCAAAGTGTGCAATTCTTGCGCGGCTACCCTGAATGGCTGAAAGAAGTGCTGCTTGGATGCAGCAGGGAAAAAGGCTGGCCTGAGTAGGCTGGCCTGTGAAAGTATAGAGAGTTTAAGGTAAGAGCTGTCGCATGATGCTATTCTTGGGCTGCTACCCTTGCCGTATATTAAAGATTGTGCTGCTGGGCCGATCTAAAAAAAAGGGGGTCACGCCTGTAGGCCAGGGGAACTTTAGGTGGGTGGCCGAATGAGCAAGCTGAGCAGATGTAGGTGTAATTGTATGTGGGGAGGGGCGAGGAGGTCCATGCGTCAGTACGAGCGGTGTTGCGGCGTGGAGCCTGTAAAACAGTGGGGCCATTTCCTGTTGGACGGGGGATCCCAAAGGCCTATGATGTGGCAACTCTTGGGCTTCCTCAGGGCTTGTACGCTTTACCCCTGACCGCCTGGATTCTAACTGTATAAGGTACTCCTCTATTCCAAGTATCCCCTCCGTCCCTTCGCAAAACGATGAAAAACTTGGGAATAAGGATGTCAGCATCAGTGAGAACATGTGGGATTGTCATCCTCGATGCATACTTTATCCCTGTCTATGGCAGGATGCCTGCCAACAGTGAGGGAGAGAGGGGATCAGTAGACGATGTTCCGCGGGAGTCGGCGTACTGGTGGTACCCGTGGTCATTGTCGTGGTCTGCTGCTGTACGCCCTGCGTGTGCTCTTTCGGCGGTCTGTGTATCCGTTAATCTGCTCCGTTGCCGTCGTAGTCGTAGCTCTTCGGCTTGGGCTTGGGCGGGGTCTTGTAGAGTCCGGGCATCGGCTTGGGTGGTGGTTCAAGGTACTACTGGGAAGTAGTTGTTGTGGAGGCTGTCGAGGAACCGCTCGCAGCGTGTCTAATGCGAACGGAGCCTGTCGATGTATGTGTGGAAGCTGGGGTCGCCGATGTTGTGTACGAAGATGACTCTTTGTCCTCCTCCTCCTCCTCCTCCTCCTCCTTCTCCTGCTCCTCCTCTTTGCCCAGCCCTGGAGCGGCCACTCCGCTGAGGCGTCAATCCTCCTCCTCCTCCTCCGCCTTCGCCTCCTCATCCTCCTCCTCCTCTTTCTCCTCCTCCTCCTCCTCCTCCTCCTCCTCCTCCTCCTCCTCCTCCTCCTCCTCCTCCCCCTCCTTCTCCAAAGCGACAGCGTCGCGATCCGCGTCCACCTCCTCCGCCTCCTCCTCCTCCTCCTCCTCCGCCCCTGGGAAACCAGAAAATCTCGATGCCGCTACTCCCCGGACCTTTCCCTGGGCACGTTCTGACCGGACTTTCGAAGCGAATCCCAGCGAGGGCCGTCCAGGAGGGCCACACAGGAAAGAACGAGGCAGGAGCAACTAACGGTGTCGGTACCCTTTCCTCCTCCTCCTCCTCCCTCCTTCCTCCTCCTCCTCCTCCTCCTCCTCCTCCTCCTCCTCCCTCCTCCCTCCTCCCGCCTTCCTCTTCCTCTTCCTCTTCCTCCTCCTCCTCCTCCTCCTCCTCCGCCCCTGGGAGAACAGAAAATCTCGATGCCGCTACTCCCCGGACCTTTCCCTGGGTACGTTCTGACCGGACTTTCGAAGCGAATCCCAGCGAGGGCCGTCCAGGAGGGCCACACAGGAAAGAACAAGGTAGGAGCAACTAACGGTGTCGGTACCTTTTCCTCCTCCTCCTCCTCCTCCTCCTCCTCCTCCTCCCTCCTCCCCTCCTCCTTCCTCCCTCCTCCTCTCCCTCTCCTCCTCCCTCTTCCTCTTCCTCCTCCTCCTCCTCTCCTCCTCTTCCTTCCTTCCTTCCTTCCTTCCTTCCTTCCTTCCTTCCGTCCTTCCGTCCTTCCGTCCTTCCTTCTCCTCCTCCGCCTCCTCCTCCTCCTCCTCCTCCTCCTCCTCCTCCTCCTCCTCCCTCCTTCCTCCTCTAACCCGAGCGGCTCACCCGAGCGGCCCCCAAGGGAGGCACCGGCTCCGCCGATTCTCGCGTCGCTCCACGCCCCCCCGCCGCCGCCCCAGGGGCCTTGCACTCCAGCCCGGGGCTGCAGACCAGGTTGCCGTTCTCGTCGGACCTGAGGCAATCGATGCTCCTGGGGAGGATCGCCCCAAGACGGCGACATAGGCCCCAAGGAGGGCCCCAGGGTGGCCCAAGAGGGCCCCCAAGACGGGCCCAAGAGAACCTCAAGGCGGTCCAAGATGGCCCCAGGAGGGAACCTCCCCCTCAAAATGGTCCCCGAGGCCGTCAGCAGGCCCCCAAGGGGACCCCCCAGAGAGGACGCACGGACGCTCACACTGGACAATCGATTAAATTTTGATGCAATTTTGGAACATGTCTATCAAAATTGTGCTTGTGGATTACCCTCGAGGCCGCGGGAACAAAAAAAAACGATATGGAAACACTGATCTAGCTCGCACTAAACTCAAACAAACATAGAAATCGCGAACCAGAGAGCGGTCCACCCAGGCACGGAGCGTGGGCGCCGTGGCGCCAAGCGTGCAGGCTGACTACTTCACAGAAGTTCACTATAGCTCGGCAGCTTGAGCACGGTGGGGGGAGCACGACGAGGGCACGATGGTGGTAAGTCTGGACGGGGATCAAATCTGGAATATCCGAGAGCTGGCGGGTCTGGAAGATGCATCGGGCGCCGCGGCCGTTCCAGAGCGATCCGGAGCGCTCTGGGAGCGATCCGGAACGCGTTGGAGCGAGTGATCCTCATTCTAGGCGTGCGTGAGGGAGGGGGGGGGAGGGGGACGGAGGGGAGGGCGGTTGTTTTAAAGGATGTTTGGCCTCCAGGAGAAGGTGAGGAGAAATGGGACGAGGATGAGGAGGAGTACGACGAGGACAACGAGGACAAGTAGAACGAGGAGTGTCTGGAGGCCTCGCATACGAGCGTCATGACACAAACAAACACGACACGCAATTTGCATGTGTTGAGGCCATGGGACCCTCACGGATCGATCTAGCTGGAAACAGACTGCACACATATAAAACAGGAAATATGTGATGTTCACTACGTCGTAGAAGTATTTTCCAAGGACGTGGAACCACGGGGACGGTGCAACATAAACAATCGGCGGATGCAGCGCAAGCCCACAGACTCAGCGCTCCAGTTTTCCCGCAGAGGAAGAACAATGTTGCATGAAGGTACCAAGTCCCCCAGTGAAGCGAACTCTTCTCCTTTCCTGTGCACCCTGACCGTCGAGTTCCGAATACGCTGGTGCTGTGTGTTGGTTAGGAGGCAACTACTGGGAGGTTTTCGACGGAAGGATTGAGAATACTTGAGCCTGGTTGGGGGGCTGCTACGCTGGATTAGGCCGCAGATTAAGCGGGCTTAAGCGAGAGTAAGCCGCATTAAGCGGGATTGAGCCAGATTTCGGACCAGGGCAAAATCAGAATTTGACCAGCCAATGGGACATCCCATGCTATGCCTCCACACACACAACCATATCGAGCCCACTGAGATGTTAAAACAACTGGAATGATCTGTTCGTTCAGCCGATGGGACTCACTGATAACCTAACCTCTCTCCTGAAAAACACACACACACAATGCACCTGTCAGCGGAGGACCTTCCGCCGGCTACACAAAAACAAGCTGAAACGCACCGTTTGGATATCGTTGCGGAGGAGCATGAGGCCAAACCATGGCGATTGACAGTGTGCTCACATCAACAAACGGAGAAATACCCCCCGCTCACAGAGGACAACATAATCATCAGGAGCTCGGACGCCATACACACATGTTTCTTTCCCCCCAGGTCAGTCCACAAGCTGTGGTCGTGGGGGCCTGCATGGTCCCAGATAGCACCACAATCGCCGCTGCTGCGTGCGAAGTCTGACCCGCCACCGAACTTGCAACGTGTGTGCATGCTGCACGGCCCACCGCAAGCTCCTGTACTTGCCATGCACGAAGCACGCAATCTTGCCCTCGGCGTTTGGCATCTGCGCGCCGATGGCACTGGCCTGCCCCCCCCCCACTGCCCTCCCGAATACACTTCTCCACGCCTGAGTGCTGCCACGACTGTGAGACTTGACTGCCATTGTTCCAGTGCAAGGGAAACAATTAGTGAACACCCCCCCCTGCCCCCCAAACTCAAGGTTGGCACGCGCGGGGGAGACTGCGGTCGAGGTGCAACTCATCAGACCCACCGCCAGCTTTGAACATTGGGGGGAGGGGGAGGCGTTCACAGATGAATGTCGCGTGAATGTTCGCTATTTTTTTCCGAGGCCTGCATCTCCCCCCTGGCGCTGCCCCTTGGGATTCGGGCCGCAGCTCGGCTCTCGGGCGGCCGCTCGGGGCACGTTGGGACGCCTCTCGGCGGGGCGCAGCTGCTGAAACCCGTCCCGAAGCAGGCACAGACCTGCAGGAACAGTGCAGACGAAAACGCCCGAACACCCAGCCTCCGCCACGACTGGTGACGCCAACTGCACACCGCATACTGATCGTTGGCCCCAGGATTGGTCCACACGCCTCCCGGTCCACACGCCTCCCTGGCCAGGGCAGGGCGCATGCATCGCTCTTGGGCTCAGGACGAGCCAGTCGGACGTCGGAGGTCTGGCAACGAGGATGAGAGGAAGGAGGAAGAGAGGAGGAGGAGGAGGAGGAGGAGGAGGAGGAGGAGGAGGAAAGAGGAAGGAGGAGTGGGAGGAGGAGGAGGAGGAGGAGGAGGAGGAGGAGGAGGAGGAGGAGGAGGAGGAGGAGGAGGGAGGAGGAGGGAAGGAGGGCGGAGGAGGAGAAGGAGGGCGGAGGAGGAGGAGGAGAAGGAGGAGGAGGAGGAGGAGGAGGAGGGAGGAGACTGGAGAGGGGATGGAGGAGGGATGGCGCTGCATGGGCTGGATGGAGGACGAGCGATTCCACCTTCTGCTCTCCACTCCGCCCTGCTCTGCTCCTTCGAGGGGAGCGGAACTGAGGTAAGGGCGCTCATCGGCACGGTCAGGCAGCGGCGGCCTGCACCTGCTCAGCCTCTGCGATTCCCTACGTGTGGGGATGTGGATCCAGGGGCAATACCACCGTCGAGGGAGCGGAGCGGGCAGAGGCGGACGAGGGACAGCGCAAGGCTCTTTGGAGCGGCAAGACGACTAACTGCATCAAGACTCCACAAGCCCCCCCCCCCAAAAAAAGCACCGGCCTCCGACCGCCATGGGCTTTCATGACATGGGCCCAGTAACTCTCGACACACACTCCTTCTCCTCCTCCTCCTCCTCCTCCTCTTCCTCCTCCTCCTCCTCCTCCTCCTCCTCCTCCTCCTCCTGCGGGCCCAGACAGGAAACCGCAAGGGTGGCGAAGGATGCCAGTCCTCCCGATCGCCCCCTGTCTGCTCAGCGCCCCGTGGGGCCTGCCAGTGGCAGGGGCAGCCATCTTTGCATCGCTGGCACCCTGGCATTCTGCCGTCGTTGTGGTTTCCGATCTCAATCTCAGGCCTCTTCGAGTCGATCCAGACTGTGGGGCAGTGTCTCGGGGAGGTGTCCAGCAAGGATGCGACTTCTTTGGAGGCCCTGGAGGCTGGTAAAGACGGTGAGTGGTGAGGAGGCCCCCGGACCGCTCCGGGCTCAGGACGACGCCTGTCGTTGTCCACGTCTCCGATAGCTCGACCGCGTTCGAACTCGGCTTCGGCGCTCGTGAGCTGTCTCGCTCGTCGAACTGTGTGTGCTCCTCTTGTCCGTTTGCTCTTGCATCCCCCAGATCTTCTTTCGGCGCGCTCGGGCCTCGTGGTGCTCCCCTCCTCGTCCCCCTTCTCCTCTCGTCCCAAGCCGTTTCCTGAAGGTCACGGGGCCCGAAGACGGCCCCTCAGATCAGCACGAACGAAATGGGTACCGAAAGAATGGGTACAATGCCCAACTGCAGCTCCTGTTCATTTAGAACAGGACTTGTTGTCCACGCCGCCGCGGCCTGTGTTCATTCGAGACAGGAGGCCGCCCGCCCAACAGCGGCCGCTGTTGGTTTGGGACAACACTTGCTGTCGGGCAATGTGCCCATTTTTCCCGTACCCATTTCGGGCGTCCCACTCAGCGGGCGCAACTGAGGGAAACCGGCCGCCGCCACTTGCCGCTGCGCCCCCAGCCTCAAGATCGAACCCCCAACTGTAAGGCCCTGGCGAGGAGCGCTGGGGCGACCGCTGCGCCCTCCAGGCACCTCGCGCGGGGCTCGCGCGAGGCTCTGCCCGCGCGTGGCGAGGTCGCCGGGCGAAGCCACGCGGAGCCCGCGCGCCCCCGAGGGCGCCGCAGAAGGCCCCCCGGAGAGGTCGGGGGCCCCAACCTCTTCCCGGGGGGTGCGTCCCAGCCAGGATGCAGCCGCGGAGGCCGGGGCGCCGCGGGAGGGTCCCCCAGAGGGATCGAGGGCGTGGGGATGCCCACCGCCGACGCCCACCGCCCCTCTCCTCGAGGAGCCGAGGAGAGGGATCGAGGGCGTGGGGCGTGGGGATGCCCACCGCCCCTCTCCTCGGCTCCTCCGCCTCGGCGGGTGCCTGGAGGCGGACATCCCGCAGAGCCTCCGCGGGCCTCCAGGTGCCGCGAGAACTTCGAGCCCTCTCTGAAGCAGGGGCTCCCGACTTCGCGCTCTCGCGCTGCGCGAAGCGCGAAGTGCGAAGAACTTCGCGCTCTCGCGCCGCCTCCCAGGGAAGAAGAGGAGGATGAGGAGGAATCGGAGCCGAAGCGCGAAGCGCGAATAGCTTCGCGCCCTCGAGGGCGCCCTTGCTGAAGACACGCGGCAGGGAGATGGGAGAGGGCGGCAGCCCGAAAGCGGAGGCGGTCAGTTGGACGCATACGGACATACCTGTACCGTGTGTCCTCCTCGGAGGCGTGCGTCCGACCACATCAGATCAAATACTGCAAAACGTGCTCTGGTATATCAATCGTTTCACGAGCGGTACGGTCAGGAACCGCCCGCCACGGAACGTGTAGACTGCAACCAAGATTCTCGGCGCGCGCGTCGCCCCGGAGGGAGAGGGTGGAACGCACACATAATATCAGTACGTTGGGGTGACGCCGACTCAAGGCTGTAAAAACTGGCAGGGGCTGAATCGAGCCCGGAGTAGCTGGGACGAGGTCGCCAGGGCTGGAGAAGCTGGAGGGCTAGCTGGCCAGGGCTGGAAAGACTGTGAAGGGCTGGCCCCCACATCTTTCCCCAACTTCTCTGTAAGAAGGCGGGTGCCTCTTAGAAGGGACTGGAGGCTTCTGAGAAGGCAGGACGGCTTCTGACATAACACAGAGGATCGAATACCTCCCTTCGGGAGGTTGAAAGACTCCGTTCTAGAAACTAACACCTTTCATAATGGAGAAAGAAAACCTCCAGCATGGAGGTCGGACCATTTTGAAGCCGTCTTTGAAGGCCATCCACTCCGCCACACTCTCTTTTGTGTGCGCGCGACCTGGTACTCCTCCTCCTCCTCCTCCTCCTCCTCCTCCTCCTCCCCTTTTTTTGCGTTGACCAAACCTGAATTCTACAATTGTGGCGTTCTTCCTCATCCTCCTCCTCCTCCTCCTCCTCCTCCTCCTCCTCCTCCTCCTCCTCCTGTCTCCGAGGTCCCTGAAGTCCTCCTAAGAGGTCCCCAGGACCTCTGGAGGCTCCAAGAGCAACCGAAACGATCAAAACTATGTTCAGCCGAGCCGCGGACAGCGATCCTCGGACCTCGAGCCCCGGACATCGCGCCTCGAGTCCCAATCTGAAGGGGCCCACAAACACACAAATGAATCCACACAGAACAGGATTCCCCATATTTTCCAATATCTTCTGGGTTTCTGTCTTCCCCCCCACTTCCCATATGTTGCCATATCTTCCTGGGAGTCGACGATTCATTGTGTCTGTGTGCTTCTGTCCCTCCTGACAGTCCTGGGGCCCCGAGCCTCGCACCTCGAGCCCAGCCTCGGGCCCCGAGCCTCGAGGCCCCGAGCCTCGAGCCCCAACTCCCGGAGCCTCGGGCCCCGACCCTCGAGCCTCGAACAGCGGGCCCAGCCTCGAGCCCCGCACATCGAGCACCCCCTCCTCCTCCTCCTCCTCCTCCTCCTCCTCCTCCTCCTCCTGACCCTCCTGACCCTCCTCCTCCTCCTCCTCCTCCTCCTCCTCCGCCTCCTCCTCCTCCCCCTCCTCCTCCTCTTCCTCCTCCTCCTCCTCCTTCTCCTCCTCCTCCTCCTCCTCTGATGCCGATCTCCGCCCTGCTGTGCCGTCGCTGTTTCCGCCATCCGTTTGCGGAGGTAGCTGCTCCACTTCTCAGAGGAAGGGATTCCCGCCCCACTTTTTCGTATCGCTTGGGGTGCATCTACGACACCAGTCTTCAATCGGAAACTCAATCACAGTAATTACCGCCGAACTCGAGTCAGGGCCAGCCTCGAGCCCAGAACTTTGAGCACCCCTTGGGCGTTGCTTACTGGGGGGGGCGATCACGTGGGGTGGGGGAAGACACGCGCACCTTTCGCCCCTCTCTCGGGCCCCAAGGGGGCCTCTTTGGGGCCCCTTCAAGGCACAAGCGATACACTTCTCTTCATCTCTTCCTTACCCGCCCCCCATTACGCAACGCCCGACCCTCCCGCCCACCAGGGAATCCAGGCCGCCCATGGGCGGCCCCGCCGGCACCGATGGCACCGCGAACAGCGCTGGTCCCGTCGCGGACGCTGGCCGCGCCACCAGGGGGGACGGCGCCGTCTGCTGCTGCAGCTGGGCGCCACCGACGAGGCCGCCGAGCCCGCCCCGGTCCATGCCTCGACGACGGCGACCGCGGCTTCGACGATACCGGCGGCGGCGGCGGCCTCGACGGTAGGCGGCGGCAGCGGCGGCGGCGGCGGCGGCGACGCCAACATCGGCGGCGTCAAAGACAGACGGCGCCGATGCACTCAACGAACGTATTGTCGGATCACGGCTCGTGACATAGGAAGGAACTGAAAGTAGACGCATCCGGAGAACCAACCACCCGAGCACGCATCACGCATCTCGAGGTGTCAGGCGACCATGTCCATGGCCCACCTGGCACTAGTAACAATGCAACGATCGATGTTCAAACAGAGCGGATGTAGGTATGAGAAGGTGAGAGACCACCGCTTGCCCAGAGGTTCCCGAACTTTGCACAGCAAGCAAGGCGACATCCATTCTGAAAGCTGCTCCCCCACTCAGCACCTCTTCGATAACCCGGGAAGATTTCTGGGGGTTCTGCAGCTTTGGGGCAGCCCGAGAACTGCAGCACCCATCCTCAGCCCCCTCCGTCCCGCCCCCCTCCCCGCAACCTCGCCCTCTCCCGCTCCTCCCCTCGCCCTCGCCCTCGTCCCCCCCCCTTCGCCATTGACAATTATTCAATATGAAAATACTCCCCCTCTTCCCCTGATGGCGTCCGGGTGATGGCCGCGCACCCTCCGCGTACTGTTTTTCTACACACAGGATTCCCGGGAAATCCCGGGAAACGACTCTCGCTGAGGCGCCGGCGTCATTTTTTCCCAAAATGCTGCTCTCGTTGAGGCGCCGGCCTCATTTCTGCTCCCGAATCGTTCCGAATCGTGCTCCCGCTGCAGCGTGGGCCTCATTTTCGGATCGGTGTTTGGCCTCCGTCGTTCAGGATGGCGTTCTCGCCCCAGCGCGGACCTTTTTCTCGCGCGCCTATCCGCCCGCCACCACCGCGCCGCACCGCCACCACCGCGCCGCACCGCCACCACCACCACCACCACCAGCACCACCACCACCACCACCACCACCACCACCACCACCACGACAACCACGCACACACGCACGCACGCACGCACGCACGTGCACCACCACCCACTACGCACGCGCGCGCGGAGCCACAGGTCCGCTACGACACGCGTCCGCGGATAGAGAAAATCAGCTCCATGGTAAGGTATGGGAGGGAGGGGTAGGACGTCAGATATGACGCGAGCGCACCTAGCTTGCCCTCTCCCCCTCGCCCTCGCCCTCGCGCCTCCCCCGCCTCCCCTTCGCCTCCCTCGTCTCTTGCCCGCCGACTCGGGCAGCATCTGGGCCGGCGGGCCTGGAACCCTGGGCGGTGCAGACAGCTGCATGTTGGACTTGTCGAGACCCATGACGTCGGCGCCCTCCGGCCACGCCCCGCCCGTGCTCTGCCCGGGGCCCGACCCATCGACGACGAGATGTGCGCAACACCGGTGGCACGGGGCACCGGTTGCAGGATGTGGTTTCGGGTCCCAGAGCTACGGAGGCAGGCGAAACAAGAGGGAGGCACGACTGGGCACGGGTACGGCGGAGCTTGGCCCGACTGGAAATGATCATGTGGACAGAAGCCTATCATCTGATTATCTCCTTCTCTGTCCCTAATATTCTCTATCTATATATCTCGTTCTCTCCATATATCTTGTATGTATGTATGTATGTATGTATGTATGTATGTATGTATGCATGCATGCATGTATGCATGCATGCATGTATGTATGTATATATGTATGTATGTATGTATGTATGCATGTATGCATATATGTATGCATGCATGCATGCATGCAGGCAGGTAGGTAGGTATGCATGTATGTATGTATGCATGCATGCATGCATGCATGTATGCATGTATGTATGTATGTATATATGTGTACATATATACTAGAACAACGCGCGCGCTTCGCGCGCGCTTAGGTTCTAGCAAGCGCCAGCCCTCGATAAGCTCACAGTATCATTGCAGTCACCCACAAACGTTTTAATACAGGGTGGAGGCGTATCAACGACGTGGACCGAGCAGAAACGAATTTCCGACAAGGACGCTGAAATCGTTTACAAGAATGCAGTCAATGCAACGGCAGCGCAAAGCAACACATTGCCATGGAAACCGGATGCAAGGGCAATGAAACGCCAAGTCTTGCCAGCTGAGGCGAGCGAAGCACATGCAACGCAATGCGATGGAGCACAGTTCAACGCAACGCAAAGCAATGTGGGCCAATGCATGTGAAGCACGAAGCAAATCAATGCAGTGCAATACAGCGCAGGGCACTGGAAAGAACCGATCGAACCCCCAGAACCCCGGGAACTCATAGATTCCACGGACGGGGCACCCAAGGAAGGATCCCGAGGAACCCAAGCTGGGGGTCGCAAGAGCCATCGGGTCTCCTGCGCAAACAAAGGGAGGGATTCGACAGGAACGAGTAGGGTACAGAGAGGAGGGAGAAGCGAGGATACAGCTGGAAGAAAGGATGACAGAAGACTCGGGCAGGGGCGGGTGGAGGAATGAGGAAAGGAGGAAAAGAAAGGAGGGAGGCGGGATCGTCAATTTCGGCACGCTCTTCACATGGATTGTATCCCCCAGGGAGCGCCACCTAGGGCGCCAGAGAACAGGCACGTTTCACATGGCGCCCCTGCGACGACGACGACGACGACGACCACCACCACTACGACGACGACCGCTGCCACGACGACGAAGACGACGACGACGACGACAATTTTTTTTTACGACGACGACGACGACGACGACGGCGGCGACGACGATGACGATGACGACAACGATGACAACGACGACTTGGGGGCCTCGCGGAAACGTCTTGGGGGTAAGAAGAGTGGGCCGCGCCCTGCGTTACACGCAGCTGCAGAGGGTTAGGTACAGAGGGTTAGGTACTTTCCCTGGCTACGTGCTGGCTTTTGCCGTGTGCATACACACATATAATACCACACATCGTTACACACATAACACACATATAAGCCGTCTTGGACCATCTTGGCGGCCTCTAGGGCCGTCTTCAAGCTATCCAGGGTCGTTTTGGAACAGTCTTGGGAGGCTCTGGAGGCGTCTGGGATTCCTCATGGAAGCATCTGGACAATTCGTTCGGATCTCGTAGAGGGTCTCTCGGGAGCCTCCTGGAAGCAGTTCCGAGGCCTCTTGGGGCCAGTTTCGGAGCCTGTTGGGGGCCGTTTTGGGGCCTCTTGGGGGCCTCTCGGGGACCTCTCGGGGGCTTCTTGGGGGTCTCTTGGGGCTTCTTGGGGGCCTCCTCTGGGGGCCTCTTGGGGCCTCCTGGGGCCCTCTCGGGGCCGAGGGCCCGAGAAGTCCGTTGGGATCCCGCGTCTGGGCACCTTTTTGCAGCCGTCTTGGGGGCCTCTTGGGCCGTCTTGGGGGCCTGTTGGGCCGTCTTGGGGCCCTCTTGGGCCGTCTTGGGGCCGTCTGGGGGGCATCTTGGGCCGTCTTGGGGCGATCTTGGGGGCCTCTTCGATAGTCTTGGAGCGTCCAGTCGCCGAAATGGCGAGTATCCAAAAAACGTCCAACAACCATGTTTAAATCAACGATGTTTGCCTATTGGCGCCCTCCTGGGACGCCTCTCGGAGACCTCCTGGCGTGTCTTGAAAGCCTCTTGGGCCGTCTTATGACCATCTTGGGCGTCTTGGAGCGATCTTTGGGCGTCTCGGGGCCCTCTTGGACCATCTTGGGGGCCTTCTGGGGCCGTCTCGGAGCCGTCCTGGTCCGTTTTAGAGCCGTCTGGAAGCCCCCGGGGACGCTGTCAGGGGGGGGGGCACGAATATACAAAAGGGGTCCCGGCCCGGGGCCCTGGGCCCGGGATCTCCCATATATGTATAGATGCGAGAACCACGCGCGCGCTTCGCGCGCGCTTAGGTTCTACTCGGACCCATCCCTTGACAAGGTCCCGGATCCACTGAAGTAATTACCCACTGATGGTGTAAGCACGAGGCACAACAAGCATCAATAATGGTGGCCGATCAGAGACTAAGTACCGACAGTGACATATGCTTAAATGAGATTCAAATCGAAGCTATGCAAGCCAATGGAAGCAATGGAGTGACCAGAACGGCAGCGCAATGCAACGCATTGCCATGGAAACCAGATGCGAGTGCAATGCGGCTCGAAGGATTACCAGCAAAAGTCAGCCAAACAACGCAAGGCAATGCAGTGCAATGCAAATCAAAGCAAGGCAATGCTCATAAGTGCAATGCGGATCACGAAACAATGGAATTTCACATGCCACGGAAAGCAGCCCGGTAGAATACAATGCAATACAATGCACGATAAGACAACAGACCGAGAGAGTCCGAGGCGTCCCGGAACTCAGAGATCCCAGGGACGAGCCGCCCTGGGAAGAGCCCAAGCGGACCCCAAGGGGAGTCCAAGACAGGGCCAAAGGGCACCCAAGAACATCCAATGAGTTCTCCGGGAAATCCTCAAAAGGAGGCGCAAGCGTGGCCCCAAGAGAGCTCCAAGCAGGCTCCAGGACGGAGCAAAGGAGGGCGCCAAGAGGCGTCCCACGAAAGCCCGAGGATGACGTCAGAAAGAGAGGGGCCAAGGAAGTGCCTCCTCTGCCCGAAAAGAAGGCCGCAGAGAGCTTACGAGGAGCCCCAGGAGTGGCGTTCTAAACAGCCCCATCCCTTGAGATGGTCACAGCCCCACTGAAGCAGTGACCCACAAATTGCTTGAGCTTGAGGTAGGAACGTACCAGTCACGCGGATGGAACCGAGACCTACGGCCCCAGAGGAAGGCAAGGTTCACATAGCGTCCCCCCGCCAATTTGGGCACGGCCCTCACACGGGTCGTGCCCCCTGGGAGCTCCACTTTCGGGTCCAGGGACAAAGTTCGCACTGTCTCCCCACCGACGTTATCTCCAGATGACAAGGTGTCCCCTTTTCTCCGTCAGCACGGTCTCAGTCCCAGTGCGATCTCCGATCGCGCTGCACAACCACTCTTGCATTCGTAGTAGTCAGAGGAAGGAAGGAATGGGCCTTGGAATGGAATGGGTAGTGAGTGACGGAGGATTTACAACAAGTGAATAGAAGAAGTATGGCCTTGAGCCAACAATGGTTACGGAGGGGGCCCAGTTCCCGATCATACGGTTCAAGTCCAGGGGAAAGGGCGAGGGCTACTCTCCTCGCCCGATCAATGAGCTAGAGGCGCTCACTCCCACAGTCCCCCGGAAAATAATGGACTTGAGACGGGATAGGGCCTTCATCCTCCGCAACCATCGGCATGCTCGGGAGGACCTCTGACCGAGGCAGACAAAACGTGGAGGGCGTCTTCCTGACTGCTCTCTAAAACGCAGCGGGGCAGAATGGTCTTGTCTTGCTGTTCTGCAACACCCGTAAAGAGGCTCTGGCCAGAGGTGTTCTCACGAGGAGCATTCACCGGCACTGAGAGCGAAGATGAGAAGCGCCACTCAAAAGCACAGTACGTGACACAGGCTCGGGCTGGGTCAGAAAAGGGGGGACGGAGAGAGAGGGAGCCGACGATTCTAGTCCAGCTGCCTTCTCGACGCAGCCCTGGAGCGGTTCTTGGCCCCGGGGTCCTCCTTGCGTTTCTGCAAGGACTGCTCCTCGGCGGTGAGCCGAAGGAGCCCTGATTTCAACGGATGGAGCTGAGCAGCGTTACACTTAGCCATATCTGCTTTGGTGAGACAGTCGACCGGAAGGAGCGGGTGAGGCACCCATCGTATTGACGATCCGATCCGATCCATGGTACCTCGTATTACCGCTAAGTCTATCGCAGCTCGGCGGCCCGACTTGGCTCCGGAGGTCAGCTTGGATAAAGCGTCGTAGATCCCCTTTGCGTCGACGACGCTCACGTTGTCAGCCGGTTGAGGAGGGCCTAACACTTCACATTGGTCTTTCAGAAGGGCCACGAAAGGGCCGAGATTCCCCCGCCAGCGTTCGTTCACTACGTTCCCACGCGCGACGTCCAGCAGGAGAATCTGCAGCCACTCGGCTTCCCCAAGAGCACTGGAAACAGCTAAAGTCTCCCCGGCCAAAGTAGACGCCACTTGGCGCCGTAGTTTCCCGGACCTCCAGGCAAGGGGGGCGACTCGGGCCCGGGGCCCGTGGGCCAGCGAATTGTCGGCCATGTAGATCTGCCAAGCTTCCTGAGGATGCTGGGGCCCCCACTTATCCTCAGCCCCCACCCCTCCACAATCACTCGCAGTCGCCAGCACGAAACCGTCGGGTTTAAACCGCCAGACGATGATCGGAAGAGAGGCTGTCGACCTGAGACGGTCGACCATCTTATTCGCATCCAGCAAATCCTCCACACAGGGACTGTTGACTTTTGTGGCCAGAATAGAAGCGGTCCCCGCGGCCTCGGCGCGGGTTTCCCTGCCGACCCACTGGAGTTTGTAAACGAGGCTCCTAAAAGCCGCCACTTCCCCTCCGACGAGGGGGCCCGCGTGGTCTCCTCTACGCCCTCGTGCTAGGGGAATCTTATTAAGTTGCTCCAGGATATATTTTTCTTGATCGACCAGAATTCGGCCCCCGGTGAACCGAGCCCTACGGCCTATGTATTCCACCCCGGCGGCATACAGGAGTTTCATCTTCCCAAACGTGAAACGCTCCTGAAAAGGTTCCAGGTAGTTTTTTTCGATGCCTTCCCTGAACGCCATGGCCCAGTCGTCTACTTCCACTAGGACCTGCGCCTGCAACTCGCCGCGGGCTCGCTCCACGAACCAGCGGGGCTCGAGCTTAGTGCGTTCGAAGCCCCGCGACTTCATGAAATTGGCCGTGGTGCGGTGAAAGGCGAGGGGCGCGTCGTCTAGGCCGTAGACGGGCGCTATCAACTCGATGAGTGAGCCGGGCGGAACCGGGACTCCGTCGCACGGTTCCACGAACACTCGGCCTCGAGCGCGCTTGAGAGGTTCGGACTGACAGAAAGCATTCTTGATATCCCCAATATATATAGTAAGACGATACATGAGAGACGTGACGAGAAACAGCATGAGAGCCTCCATGCATGGAGTAGGAGCATAGACCTGAAGTTCCGCTGTGTCTTCGTCCTGATGCCCCCGAACACACCACCTGGATTTGGCTTTTTCCCTCGAAAAGGTTCCCTCCTGGGGTTTCCACCTTCGGACCGTGCGACTCGAAACGATCCGGCTCGGGAAAAGCCGGCGGAGCTCATTGGCTTCCTTGGGGGGGTGCACTATCACAGGCTTGGTTCCCTCGGATAGAGCTTTCCATTCGTTCGCGTCGGAGATGTCGAACTCCCTTTTCTCTTCTGGGCTAAGACGCTTGTACTGAACCTCGGCCCCTCGATTGGCCAGGAGAGAAAGAGAAACGGATCCATCAACCTCAGGGGCGATTTCCACGTCGGCATTTCCGTTGGCGTAGGTCTCCTGGGACCCGCCCCATCCCTGGGACTGGATTTCCTGTTCTAACTGATCGAGAAGGTCGACCTTCTCGTCCATATGGGCAAGAAGGGTCATAGTCATGTCCCCGCCGCCCTCGGCACGATCTCCTCCTCGTGGCGAGTGAGACCTTTGTCGAGCGGAGGCATCAAGTTCTCTAACCTGTTGCCTCACTCTGCCTTCCTGAACTCCCCGAAAGGCCTCCCCTGGAGTGCGGGTCATTCTACCGCTCCCTCCATCCAGACGCCTAAGTCCCTCCGTGTCCTGCATCAAGCGAATGAGCCGACCAGGGTCTACTGGCTCCGCTGAGCGATGCTGAGAGGCAGAATCGGACAGCGCAAGCCTAGGAGCACTGGCGGGCGGAACACTGGCAGCCGAGGCTTCAAAATGAAGACTGTCGGGAGGGACATCGCCTAGCCCCCTGCCCCTTTTTGCACCTTGAGGGGGAGTGGGCCTTGAGCGCGTGGCGCGACCCGAATCGCCGTCTCGCTCGGCAACACTACGAGCCCTCTGGGACTGCCCAGAAGTCTGCCTGGAGGGCCCAGGTGAGACTGGAACCTCGGATCTGTTCTCCAAGGACTCGGGAGCACGCGTCCCTTCAGAATGGGCCGGCAAGGCAACCTTCTCGGGAATCGGGGCCAGACCTGGAGGAGGCAGAGGTGGGGGAGCCCCGAGTTGACCGCCTAATTCCCCCCCTTCTCCTGAGGCAACAGATGGGGGGACAATGTCGGGACCCTCCCCCGCGGCGGCCCCGCCATCCGCCTCTACCGCGGGCGCCGTCTCTGGGGGGGAGGCGACCTCAACGGGAGCGTCAGGAGCCCGCGCTCCGGGGGGAGGGGGTCCCTCACTGGAGACGTTTGTCCCAGCCCGATGCGCGCTGGTTTGGGCCTCTCTGAGAAGCTGTTGGACAGACGAATCAGCCAGGATCTTCGCCCCCCGGGATTCCTCGGTCGTGGCCAAACGGACCTGCTCCGTGGAGCATTTCCAGAGACGAGACCTCATCGCAACCCAAACCGACGTGCCGTTTTGCAGCGCCACGAGTCCTGGACCAACCCATCTGTCTCTTTGAAGGGCGAAAGTTTTCTAGCCCCCCCGGGGAGCTCTCCTCCAGACGTAGACCCATTGACCGGGAGAAAAGTATTTGTCTCGATGGGTGGGTGCGTGTGCTGCTTTAGCCAGACGACGTTGGTTGGACGACTCGAACAGTTCTTTTCTTGCCAACCTCCGGATGGCGTCCCGGCGAGCGAACTCGGCCGCCGCGGTGTCCTGATCCCAAGAGCCAGGGGACAGGTCATCTGTTCCCACCACCTGCAGGGGGTCGTCCGACGTAATGTCGTTGGGTATCCGGGGGTTAATGCCGAAGACCATCTGACAGGGAGTAAACCCCCCCCGGTGCAGGTGCCGATTTTTCGCGGCGGTCACCTCGTGGACCAGCGTTTCGAGCTCCAGCGTGGTGGTGACGAGAGTGGTCTCGGAGGCCCGAACCAAGATGTCCTTAACCCACCCCCCGTGTCTCTCAGCTCGGCCGTTGTGCCACGGACTCTCTGAGTCCGTGACATGCTGAAAGGCCCCCAGATGTTCCAGACCTCTCTCGAAATGACCCCGAAACTCGGGCCCTCCGTCGGTGATGGCGAATAGGGGGTGTCGGAAAGGTCTCACCCAGGCCCTCATAAAGGCCCTCCAGGCTCCCAGGGCCGTGCCATCGTACATTTCTACGACCTGATAGTTGGTCCCATGGCAAATGACGTTGAGAAAAAGCATTTGTTCCTCCTTAAAAGTGACGTAGAAGGTGTCTAACGCGATGATTCAATTGACCTCGAACGTTCTAGGTACCGCCACGAGGCGACTGCTGGCTGGACGAGAGTGCGCAGCGCAATCGCCACATCGGTACTCGTCCTGCACAAACTTGAGCACCTCTGGCTTGGCTTGGGCGCCTCTGAGGACCTTCAGGGAAACATCTTTATGGGGGTGACCTAAATTGACGTGCACCTTATGTATTAGCCGTCTGACCTTCGGAGTGATCTCAAATGGACGATCCTGGGCAACCCCCTCAGGGTCGGGATCGCCCTCAAGAGACAACCCTCTTCGACGTCAGCCGGGTAGCTCTCGGCGAGGCACAGACTGGGCCCCCCAGCCTCTTTCGCCACCCGGATTTGCCCCGGCGAGGTCTCGGGAATGGCCACGTTCGTGCTGGCCCGAACGGCCTCGGCCAAAGCTCGAGCAAACTTCGGCGGATACACTCGAGCCTTAGCTGTCATTGAACTGCCTATCAGATGAGCGCGCCAGTGGTCTCCGGCGCACCTCGACCCTGCAAATCGCTCCAAAAAGGCATCACAGTTAGACATTAGCCTCGTGGGTTTCTTCGACAAGGTCCCATCTCCCGACACTGATAAACCGAAACGACAAAGATCAACGCACATCGAACCAACTTCAGGGAGGTTCTGCACATAGCGGACCATCTCGGTCCTCCATGACCCCGCGGTGACGGGGCGTTCGAAGGCGAATTTTCTCCCCTGTTGGTACTGTTCTAAAGCCACCTCCATCGCGAAACCGAGCAGAACGATGGCGCCAGCATTCTTGCGACGCTGCTCAGGAGTCGTTTCCAGATGGGCGGTGGCGTTGTGCGCTATGGAGAAGGCATCGCATGGGGGTTCCAATATGGTCATCCATGGTTTATGCTTTCGCAGAAAGATACGAAACTCCTGCCTATGCTGTTCTTTTAGAAAGTCCCATCCTCCTTCCTTGTCGAAGCTGCCCAGGCACACCACTCCGGCGTGGTCAGAATAGTGAGCGATCCTAGGAGGAGAGAAGACATCGACAAAGGCCCGGCTCCTAAGCTGGGCTCTGTAAAGCTTGGTTTTGTCGGAACAATCCCTCCCCTCTCCCAGTTTTCTCCTTTCCCCTTTCGTTAGATATACCTCTCGATCATCTGGCCACTGATCCCCAAAAATGGTGTCGTCAAGCTCCTGGCAATAGAACTGGGTTTGGCCGTCCCTCTCCTGGATCGGTTCAACCTCGAACACCCTGCCCACTCCCTGAAACCGCGCACCTGAACTGATCTCGAAAATGTTCCGATGGTTGGGATCCCCGATCCTCGTGCTGGTACTGTCGTGGAGGCCTGGGTGTCGGCCCAGGCCCACTTGCCGCCGCCCTCGTGACTCCACGTCTTCCACCCAGTCTGCTCCCACCCCTCCTTGGCCAGGCGCTTCTTCTCGGCGTCCTTCATCTGCTGCTGCTGCCTCCAGGCGGCCTCCTCTGGGTTCTCTGTCGGCGTCCACGGATCCCCTCTGGCTGACGAAGGTCCCGCCGCAGAAGGCCTCGTCGGGCGCTCGACCCTCTGCTGAGGCTGCTGCCCGCCGTCTTGCATCGGGCCACTCTGCACCCAAGTGAGCTGCTGGACGGGGGCCACTGGAGCCGCCGCTGGGGGCTGCTGCTTTGCGCCCCGGGCGTCGAGGGCATCGCGAAGCTGCTGATCGTGGAGGACGAGAGAAGAGCTCCCTGCTGATCGCGAAGGCCCCGAAGATTGTCCACCCTGGTCTTGGCGTAGCCGATCGGCGGAGGCCATGCTACACCCGATGTCGGATGAGTCGCTGTGCCGGCGCCGTACGACGGGTAGGCGCTCACCACTTGGGCCGTGCCGACAAAGCCCCAGCCTCCCTCTTGGGTCGCAGCCGCGGCCGCCGACGGGGTTCCACACCTTGGAGAGGGCATAGCCGCGATCGAAACTCCGTGAGGCGGCGTATGTAGCGGCGGGGGCTGCTGAAGGGCTGGAGGAGTGGCAATGCTGTGGTGCTCCACTCCCTCCGGCGCTGGCGGTGGTCTGACTGAGACTGGTCCCTGCCCCGGCTCCTCGTGTTTCACACTTGCACTTGCCTCTGGGGTTGACACTCCTGCCTCGCTCTTCCGACCTGTTGCCTGTGGCGCCTTGGGCACCGGCTCTCTCGTCATCAGTGGAGGCGGTGCCTTCGTCGCGGCGGGCCCGGTCAGGGCCCGCGCCATCGACGAAGGCGCTGAGAGCTGCTGGAGCTTCGACTGGAGCGTCGCGACAGCCTCCATCTGGCCCGACACCGTCGCGCAGAGCTGGTTGATGGAGGTATCCTGCTGATTCTGCTTGTCGGCGATCTGCTGGGGGAGGCGCATGGTCTCGTCGCCGCCGTCGTCCGAGCTGGCCGAGGGCTCCATCGCCGCTCTCTTGGATGGAGAGGGCGCCGCCTGTCGGCGACGCTGGGCCCTCTGCTCCTTGGCCTGCTCCTCCACGTCGCGCATGATCACGCCGGGCTGCTCCGCCTCGACCTGTTGGTAGGGTGTTCCAGCCGCCTGAGCGTCGACCGATGCTGGCCATGGCGGCACCGTCCCTGCCGACGTTCTCGCCGCTGGTACTCCTGGCGGAGGAGCTGGGGCTGCCACTAGAGCCTGCCACTCTGGATCGGCTCCGCCCAGCTGGGCGAAGCCCTTTCCACATAGCGAGCAGGCGGCCGTCTGGCGCTTGCACACGCAGGTCATCTCCTTCTTGGGCGTGGACTTGTCTGGCTTGGTGTCCTGGTAGGCGACTCGCATGGTGCACAGCCCACGCACCCACCAACGCCCATGCCCATTGCTGCCAAACTCCACGTGAATGGGAATGTGGCGGCACGCGTAGAACTGCGGCGGGATCACCCGCATGCGTCTGACGAGATTCGTCGGCCAGAAGCGTCGATTGATCATCATCCTGCCGAACTCGTCGGCCAGCTTCGAGAGCCAGAATATCATGGCTCCCACCACAGCCGCCCACGACCTCTGGCCGCGGCTCATGGACTGTGGAACTGGCGCTCCGGTGGCCGCGTAGGTCCACTGCTGGTGATCGCCCAGCTGTTCGCCCATCGTCATTGGACGGTTGGCCCGGCGCTGCGCCTCGGTCTGCTCCTTCTTCTTGCCCTTGGAGGTGGAGGAGCCTCGGGGGCCATTGACGGAGTTCACGCCTGGCGGCGGCATGGCTCCGTCTCACTAGTGCACGGCTGAACCCGACGTGACGATGGAGTCTCTGGGAAACGTACCCGTCGGGCTTGCTGAGATAGCTGGTGGCTCGAATGCTCGAGCCCAGCTGCTGCGTGATGGCGAGCGCGATGATCCAGATGAACGACTGCTTGGTTCTGGACGTCTCTCGTCTCTGAAACGACCGAAGTTCACGAGCCTCTCGCCTTCCCGGTCGCCCCTGCCGTCGTACCTGTTCTTCTCCTTCGGTTTTCCTAAGCACCGCTCTGCTATCCTTAGTACGATCCGGGAGGACGCTAGGCTGTGTGAGCTCCATTCTGCGCTCCTGGAAGCTTTCGTCTTGGCCCCCTGGGGCCTCTCGAGTTACCGCACCTTCCTGGGGCCCCGATCCGGTCAGCTGTCCTGGACGCGTGGCCCCCTGGGGTTCTCGCGGAGAAGGAATCGGGCCTGACCCAGGCCCAGAGAAGGATGGCGAGGAGACGATGATATACCTAGACATCGTCTCGCTCCTGAAATCTTGCTCCTTGACCTCCGGATGCTGGTTTAGCACCGAGGGAGGACACTTGAAAACTGCTCCCGGAGTGGGCATTCCGAAATCGTCGAAGCGCATGGTGCGATGTCCGGTGGGAAGCCGACGCATGTCAGCCATTACCCCTAGACGCTTGAGTTCGATCTGATTCGTGCTTAGGTCGATTCTCGCCCCGAGCATCTCCTGGAACCCTACTGGGAGGAGGGGTGGCACGTCCTCTTTGAAGACGTCCAGCTCGATGACCCCCATCTTTCCTTGGATGCCCGTGGGGATCAGAGCAGTGCTCAAAACTGTCGTGCCCCCCCCGATTCCGCGGGCCGAGCGATTGCGGGGGGGCACCTGGGGCACTCGCAAGCCTCGCTTACTCAGAAGCTCACAGTGCCGCTTCAAAGCAGGCATACCAATCAGTCCTTGACCCGCTGCGGTGTCGACGATCATCTCGCCTGGGTCGACGCTCATGAAGGTGGCGGTGGCGCTGTCGAAATCCGGGTCGTGGCTCTGGGTCGGGCCGAGAATGTTCGCATAGACGTAGGCGTTGACATTCGCGGCGGCTACTGCGGTTGCACTGTGGCCATTCCGCGCCGGACATTCACGAGACCAATGACCCTTCTGATTGCAATTTCTGCACCGTCCTTTTGATCAGCTCTGACAGTGGAAGACGTGATTTCCTCGGTCTAACCTGCCCATTGGCAGCGCGATGCCCGCGTGGCTGCCTGTGGGCCGGCTCTGGTTTGTCCTTGCTGCGATCGAAGAACTTGCGATCCACCTTCATCTTGCGCTTGAGATCCCGGTTCTGCTTCCACGTTTTGCGCCTCTCCTCCTGCATGGTCGCAAACGCCCGTGGAAGCTCGTCGTCGTACAGGCCAAGGCCCTCCAGCGTCGCGTAGACCTGCTGCTCGCCGTCGGTGTCTAACGAGGAGACGTCGTCGTCCTCTAGGGAGGAGTCGAGGTCGAGATCGTCCGTCTGTACGGAGAAGGTGGGCTCATCCTTGGGGAAACTGCTGTCCGCCATGAACGATCTCTTCTGGAAGGATAGGTGCCCTCTCCGGGCGACGTCCATCTCCCTGCTCGCGGCGAGAGCCTCGGAGTAGGAATCGCAGATCTTCATCATGGCCCTCATCAACTGCTGGCCTCTCTCATCGGGACCGCCGACGCCCTCTTCCAGGAACATGAACTTCCAGTCCTCTGGGACTGGAAGACCTAGTGTCGCCACCTTGTCGAATGCCAGGTCGATGCGGGCGGCGTACTCGGTGAGTCCTTCTCCCTGCCGTCGTGGGAATGAGAAGAGACACTCCCTTCCGGCCTTCCTTTTCTCGTCATCCACCTTCTCGCCTGACAGGAGGTCCAGGCGCTCTATGATTTTGTCAGCGCCGTTATTGGAAGTGAGAACTTCATCCGATAGGTCGTCCATCTTCCTCTGGATGTCAAGAGGAAGTACCTTGAGAATGCGATCCGCATGTTTGTGAACGGGAATGTCTGTGAGCTGGCGCCAACGCCAAGCTGGCGCCTCCATAGTTTGTACTCGTTCCAACTGCTCCAGGCGTCCGGGCCGGCGAAGTCCTTGCCCCGCTCGCCCCAGCCGCTCCAGTCCTTCCAGGTGGAGTCGCCCTTCCAGCCGTCGTCCCAGCTGTCCCTCCAGCCGGACTTCCACCAGCCGCTCCGGTTGGCGTAGTCCTCGACGCCGTCTGAGGCGTCTCGCTCTCCGGTGCGCCTGTGGCTCCAGGGGTCTCCACGCTGCCACGGATCTTCGTCTTGATCTGGTGCTGCCCCACTGGCCCGTCCTTCGCCTGCTGTGTCGGTTGCCCGACCTGCTCGGCTGGACCCATGGACCTGGTCTCGCACCATCATGATCACCCTCTGCAGCTGCTGCGGCGATATTCCAGTGGCCGGGTCTGGCCTGGCCGGTGGCGGCGCCTCTGGTGGTGCCGGCCTCGCCGCTGTAGCAACTCCATCCAGCAGCGCTCTGAACTGCTCCTCCGAAAGGCGAAACTGGCCATCTTCATCTGCCCATTGTCTTGCTGTTCCCACGGCTGCAACGATCGGTCCCTGGCCTGCTGAGGCCGAGCTGTGAGGTGAATTAGCGCCCTGCTCCTGAGGCATCGTCGGGTCCGCAGAACCGAGCCTCCGCAGAGGCTCCGCTACCACTGTCTCCCCACCGACGTTATCTCCAGATGACAAAGTGTCACCTTTTCTCCGTCAGCACGGTCTCAGTCCCCGTGCGATCTCCGATCGCGCTGCACAAGCACTCTTGCGCTCGTAGTAGTCAGAGGAAGGAAGGAATGGGCCTTGGAATGGAATGGGTAGTGAGTGACGGAGGATTTACAACAAGTGAGTAGAAGAAGTATGGCCTTGAGCCAACAATGGTTACGGAGGGGGCCCAGTTCCCGATCATACGGTTCAAGTCCAGGGGAAAGGGTGAGGGCTACTCTCCTCGCCCGATCAATGAGCTAGAGGCGCTCATTCCCACAGCACGGCGTCCTTCCGCCCATCTCGGCACACCCATCACATGGATCGTGTCCCGGAGGAATGTAGTTTCACGTGCGGCCCTAGTGGGAGGATTCGCATAACGCCACGTCCCCCCAGGTATGTCGACGGTCTCCTCACACGGATCGTACCGCACAAGGAGCTCCACCGAAGGCCCCAGAGCTAACGTTCGCATCCCGCCGCCCCGCCCATTTTGGTACACCCCTGATCTGGATCGTGAGTTCGGGGCGTCTTGGGTGCCTCTCGGGGCCTCGCGGCGTGTTTCTGAGTGGCCTCTTGAATCCCTGAGATTAATCGTAAATTTGGGGTCGCTTGAAGCCTGTCTGGGAAAGCCGTGCAGGACGTAGATGCGAGACCTCCCATACGCTTCTGGGGCCTATTGGGAAGCCTCCTGGGAGCATCTTGGAAGCATTTAGGGGAATCTGTTGGGGCTGCTTGGGCCTTCTTGGGACCCTTTGGGGGCTCTTTTGGGCCGTCTGGGGGCCCTCTTGGGCCGTCCTGGGGCCCCCTTGAACCGTCTTGGAGGGGGTCGGCCGTCTTGGGGCCGTCTTGGGGCCCTCTTGGGCCGTCTAGGGGGCCTCCAATGGCCCCCTCGGGGCTCCATTGGGACCCTTTAGGGGCCCTGTGGAGCCCCTTTTGGGCCGTCTTTTTTTGCGATGGTGACGTCGATGCTATCATCTCTATGCATCTACGGCACGAGCGATAATTATCGTGGGCAGCTCGAAGGCTGCCAACATGTACCCGACCAGTAAGGAAGGGTACATCACGCCGTGACCAGCAAGGCCGAACACAATTGCCAAGTATGCGCTGACGGAAACAAAGACTTGGAAACAAAGACTGACAAAACAGAGATCATCGTTTCCAATACATTGAGAAATGAACGTGGCAGGTCCTGCAAAGTACCACGCCGGACCCATCGTTCCACCAATGGGAACGTTAACGTTAAAGGGCCCGTCGCGTGCTCTCCATGAGCGGTAACTCCTTTCATCGCTCAGTGGCGCGTACAGGAGCCACCTGGGATTGACAATTGCGCCACGAACGATTATATATAGATACCAAACCTCGCCAACGACAACTACGGTCGCACAAGTAAACTGCACCCAACCCATGCTACGCGAATAAGCGGCATATGGCAGCATGAAAAGCACGGGCTGCATGCAGTGAAACCCAGCAAGTTTCACCGCGCTCACAAAGTATGCTTGGTAGCGATGCCCCTGAAAGTTCGACGCCATTCGGAGGCCATCCCACGTGCCGTACTTTCCGTCATTGTAGTCAAGCGTCAACGGGGGCTGCGGTATGCTGATCATGTGGTCGAAGGCGAAGAACTGCGTGAATACCTGTGTCACGCCAGATCTCATGATCGGGGCGAGCACGAAACCCAGAGTCCACTCGCTCTCACCCCGCAGGCCCATGCGCCAGCCCTTCTCTGGAGACGCGTGGCATGTCCCGTTACTGTGGGCGCAGGGAGTTGGGTATTGGCAGTCACACGTGTGCCACCCCGCGAACTTGATGCCGGGTGTCACCCTGCAGGTGGTGTTCCCACGGTCGGCTGCGCATCCACCAACGAAGCACGTCCCGCCCGTTGCCTGGACGCATGAGGCCTCGCTTCCGGGCAGCTCTGCGAGCTGCACCCCCGCTCCGGTGAATGCAGGCCTCGTCCAAATGGCTGGTGGTGACGTCCATGCGACTGCTACGGTCGCGAGGAGGAGCAATCCCATCGCCTGGTTCACCATGATCATCCTGGGCGAACCGGGAGGCTGCCCCGACGGCACAGCTGGCGTCGATCCTGGCGCGCCGAAAGAATCGACGCCCTCGCCCTTCTCAACCACATCCTCTTCCCCGTCACCGCCGACCAGGGGCAAGCCGAGGGACGACTTGCTTGTGTCCAGGATCATGTCTTAGCTGACTCGGCGCACAGACCTACCTCAATATTGCTCCGACTGGATGCGAAAGAATATGTATATTGATTGTCCGAATGTGTACGAATGAGTACGACTTTCGAAACCTGCTATGAATCACTTCGCTTGAGCCATAATTGCGACGGAGCCCCTTTTGGGCCGTCTTGGGGCTCTCTCCGGCCGTCGTGGAGTTCTCTTGAGCCGTCTTGGTGCCAATTTCACCCACGTTTCATTGAGCTTTGTGTGTATGCTGTGTTCGTTTGCATTGATTATTAGCACAGTGTTTGATTATGGTTGGACCGCTGCCGTTTGATGTTCAGAGGCCCCTGAGTCACAGGAAAGGTTGCGTATTCTTTCCCAGATTATCGAGATAATCAGATCACGTACATCCCGAGACAGACTTAGTGTGCTGCCATCGGTTGAGATTGGTAGCAGAGCCGGAGATCCACACCCATCTCCGGCACCCCGTCGCCGCCGCCATGCCCGCTGGCGCGACGCCGCCCCGCGGACCGGCGAAGCCGCCAGGGCCGCCGCCGGCGAAGCCGCCGGGCATCCCGCCCCCTGCCGCCGCGGCCGCCTCGGCTGCCAGCGGCGTGGACCCCGCTGCCGCGACCACCCGGGTCCCCGGCAGCGAGGGCGACGAGGCAGCCTACGCCGAGGAGTGGGCTGGCTGGACGGGCGGAGGCTGGTGGCGCCAGGAGAGTTCAACCTGGGACGGGGGAAGAGGACTCGACGCTGGCCTGTCTCAGACGGCGCCAAGCTACGAGCTGCTGAAGACCGACGGCTACCGAGTTTTCAGACGAAAGCTAGAGGTCTTCGAGAGGTGCTGCCGCAAGCGCGGCACGACAGCCATCAGCGAGGGAGCGTTTCTGGTCATGAACTCGCTGCAAGGAGAGGGGGCCGAGGCTACGGGGGAGATCGACCTGGACCTGCTGGAGACAGACGAGGCCTTCAGGCCGCTGTTCAAGGTCCTGGATGAGTACTACAAGTACGACAACCAGACTGAGCTGCCAGCCCGGACGGATCAGTTCTTCGGCAGGTTCGCCCGCCAGGAGAAGGAGTCCATGAAGTTGTACTGCCTACGCCATCAGCGCGACATCAGGAAGCTGAGGGAAGTGGGCATGGAGATTCCTGATATGCTAGCGGGCTGGCACCTCCTCACGAGAGCGGCGATCCCACCGTCAGGCGCCGCCCAAATTCGAAGTCAATGCGTAGACGGCCTCAGCTGGCAGAAGGTGAAGAAGGCTTTGCTCGACACGTACGGAGCCGAGGGTCTGCCCGACAAGCGCGACATCAAACGAGTGGAGAAGATGCTGCTCGGGCAGAATACCAAGGACGACGCTCACTACACGAGCGATTACGAGTGGAGAGAGGCCTGAGCTACGAAGACACGTACCTGGAGGAGGAAGAGTATGACGACGAAGATGAGCACGAGTACGAAGATGTAGACGAGGAGGCCGAGATCGCGGAGGAGCTGCCGCAGGATGTTGGGGGCGCTCAGCTCGCGTGCGACGAGGCCTACCTAAGTGCAAAGAAGCGCGTGGCTGAGATCGCGAAGTCCAGAGGCTTCTACCCGATCGTCGCCGTGGCGCCCGACAACAACTAACGTCCGAGCCACAGGCAAAGGCAAGGGACATGGACGCGGCAAAGGTAAAGGCAAAGGCAAGGGATCTAATCAGCCACGACGAGATCCATCAGCGTTCAAGTTCCCGAAGGCCCCCTTCGCCCGCTCGCCGCCTGCATCGAGTGCGGGATCGACTGGGACAGGCTCGACGCAGCAGCACGGCCAGAGGTTCAAGAGGTTCCGCCACGGCGGGTTCACCAGGCCGGAGACCGAGTCAGGCAACATGGTCGAGGACGTCGAGACGTTGGAGTGCGCGAACTCGACCGAGGAGGTGTTCCTGCTGACAGTCGGCAAGGGCATCAGCGACGGAGGCGCTACGCGGCCCGTCATGGGCGACAAGGTCTGGGCGCAGTGGGAGGAGCTGCTGCGCGTGAAGCAGTTGCTGCACGAGGTCAAGTATGAGAAGAGTGATCGACGGTTCAGGTTCGGAGACGGTAAGACCCTGGAGGCAAAGAAGGCAGTGACGTTGTCGGTATGGCCGTTCGGAATTAAGAAGCAAGTCGCCATCCACCTCGTCGAGGGGTGGACGCCGCTGCTCATCGCCAGGCCCTGCATGGAAGAGCGGGGTCTCATTCAGGACTATCGAGCAGGCACGTTCATGATGAAGGACCTTCCCGACAAAGGTTGGATGAAGTCCGAGCGAGATGAGAAAGGCCACTTCATCATCGATTTGTTGGGCAGCGCCGGGAAGGAAGCAGACGACGCCATGAACGAGGGCGCTCCCACGGACGGCGAGGAGAGCAGCGACGACTCGACGGACAAGGACTCAGAGGGGAGCTCGGCGAAGGGAGAGACTGACGACCGCAGCGACTCGTCGGTGCCCGACGCCGATGCCTACTACCTCGAGACCGTCCCGGAGTTCTACGACATCGGTAGCGACGACGAGGCGCTGACAACCGAGGGGTTCTCAGACATGGACGCGGACACCTACTCAGACCTGATCTTGGCCCTGGAGCAAGCGGAGACCGACATGAAGGATACGCTCAGAGGACCCCGCGAACGCGTGGTCTGGGAGGTCTTCGTGGACCAAGGGGCTTTGTCGGAGGAGCTGCTGGAGTTCCCGCAGGTCAAGGTGATCCAGTTCAGGCTGGCCGACGGCTGGGACTTTTCCAAGCCCAGCGTGATTCGCAGCTTCTTAAGTAAGATCGATGAGGAGAAGCCCGATGACATCTTCTTTGCACCCCCATGTAGGATCTGGTGTTCTTGGCAACATGTCAATGAGAAGCTGTCGGAGGAACGCGCGAAGGAGATCAACCTCACCAGACAGAGAGAAGAAAAAACGTTCCTCAAGATGGTTCGGGATTCTTTTGTGAAGCAGCAGAACGGTGGACGACATGCGTATGTAGAAGGCCCGTAGCAAGGGCTACACTGGCAAACCAAGACCTGGCAGAAGCTACCTGGATACCACTGCCGGCTCGACCAGTGCAGGCTGGGCGCCAAGTTCGAGATCAAGGGTAAGTTCATGCCGTACCAGAAGCCCACGCGACTCCAGTCCACGAACAAAGAGTTTGCTCACCACATGAACGTGAAATGCAGCTGTACCGAGGAGCACGTGGTCTTACGCGGCAAGCTTGCCCAGCAGGCTCAGAACTACCCGAGACCGATGGCGCGAAGGATGGCCTACTTGATCGCCTATCAGGGCATGGCCGACGACATTAAGGATATCAACACCGCCGAGGAGGTCTCCAAGGACATCGACGCCATCGAGTACACCGACGTGATGCAGGAGCTGATGAAGCGTTTCAACGTGTCGACGATCAGGGCGGTCAAGCGCGCTCACATCAGCCTGGGCCACCCGTCCAACACGGCGCTGGCGACCGCCGTGAAGCACGCGAAGGCCCCGGCCGAGTGGCTTCAGTGTGCCAAGCTCCTCCAGTGTGAAGTCTGCCCGAGCGGGCAACGACCTCGAGCAGTGCGCGTAGCTGTACTGACGAAGGCTAAACGGTTCAACGAGGTCGTGAACAACGACGTCTACTACGTCACCTGGAAGAACAAGGAGCGAAAGATCTCGGCCATGATGGATGAGTTCACGCGCTACGAGGTGGATTACCCGATCGCGAAGGAGACTTTCAAGAAGGAGGTGAAGCTGTTTCAGAAATTGTGGCTCAGCTGGGCTGGCAAGCCCGACGCCATGAGGATGGACATGGCAGGCTCGCACACGTCAAGGAAGATGCACCAGTGGACGAGCAAGCACAACATCACACTCGACCTGATCCCGAAGGGCGCGCGCCACAAACCCGGACTCATGGAGCGCAACCATGCGGTCAGGAGGGAGCAGCTCAGCAAGTACCACCTGCAGTTCCCCGGCGACTCGCTCAAGACCGCGCTCAGGATGACCGCCAGCCAGCGGAACATCTTACGCAACGTGCACGGATATTCGCCCGCGACGCTGGTGCTGGGCACACAGCCCAAGGTGCCTGGCGCGTTGTGCGTCGAGGACTTCGGCCTGGCGGAGCAGGCCGCGCTGGTCGATCCCAAGAGCGAGGTGCACGAGATGATGGTCAGGCGCGCTGCGGCGGGGACGGCTTTCATCGAGGCCAACTGCTCTCGTGCCGTGCGAGCTGCGCTGTTGGCGCGCAGCTGGCCGACACGCCGCGAGTGCCAGATCGGCGAGTGGGTCTACTTCTGGCGACCCGAGATGTCGACGGGCCTGGAGAAGTGCCACTGGCATGGCCTGGCGCTGGTGGTGGCGGTGGAGTCGAAGGTCAACGAGGACGACGTGATGCACACGTCCGTGGCGTGGGTCACGCACGGGCGCACGATCTACCGCTGCACGGTGGAGCAGCTCCGTCCCGAGCTGTCCAGTGAGACCCGAGAGCGAGAAGGACGACGCGAGGATCCCGACAGCCTACTCAGCACCATCGAGAAGCTGAGGAGGGCGCTCAGGCGGACCAAGGGCACCTGCAGCTTCAGTGACCTCGCCGAGGGGGGCCAGCGGCCCCAGTACGACGACACCCTGGACGACATGGGCGCGCAGCAGCCCGGCGCCCAGGGACACCGCGATGGAGATCCTGTTGGACAAGAACGAGAGGAGCCGAGTGGAGCGGCTGCCGCGGCAGCTCCCGAGGCCCACCAGCCAGCTGAGGCTGGCGAGGAGGCGGCTCCAGACCCCGCACCAGCGGGGCCAGCGCTGCGCGAGAGCGCGGCAACGCTGCGAGGGAGCCGAGTCGAGTCCACATCGAGGCGATGGCCAAGAGGAGCATCGAGGAGGCCGAGAAGCTGGACGGCATCCCCTTGGCAAAACGCGCCCGCATGTCGTGGGCCAGGCTCGCGCCGCAGCAGGAGGAGCCGTGTCTCATCGAGGAGGTGGACGACGAGATGATGTTGTTGGAGGAATCCACCGAGACAATATACATGCTGGCTTTCAAGAGGGAAGTCCCCGCCATTGTGGGGGGGGGCTCACACCCGAGGAGCGGGAGCAGTTCTACGCAGCCAAGCTGGAGGCCCTCGAGGTGTTCAACAAGAACGACGGCTGGGAACCCATCGACGAAGCGGAGGTGGACCCAGCGGCGCGTTGCCCGTTACGCTTCCTGCTGAAATGGAAGGTGAAGGACGGGCAGCGAGTGGCCAACGCGCGAGTGCTTTACCAGGGTTTCAAGCACCGCGACGTGGCCGAGGGCCAGCTTGACAAGGAGGCGCCCACTTTGAGCAGGCTTGGCCGACACACGGTCATGCTGTGGGCCGCCTTGAGGAAGTGGAGGCTGTTCGCTGCGGATGTGAAGTCCGCATTCCTGCAGGCCGAGGACGTCAGTGCCCACGGCATCAAGCTGTACGCGAGCCCGACGAAGGAGATGAGGGACATGCTTGTACACCAGATCGGCCTGCAGCCAGGACAGTTGCTCAAGATGATCAAGCCTTGCTTTGGGGACCCGCGGTCGCCCAAGCTCTGGCACCACCGCTCCGACGCAGTCACGAGGGAGATCGGGTTCAGGAACCACTGGCTCGAGGAGTGCTTGCTGCTGTCCTTGCGGGCCGCGCGACCCTCGGACGACCCGCTCGACGTGTGCAGTTTCGACGGCCAGACGTTCGTGGTGGACGGGCTGATCGGCAAGCACGTGGACGACTTCATCGGATGCGGCGAGAACGTGAGTTGCGAGGATGACCTGCACGCCAAGCTGGACGACACCGAGTGCTTCCAGGCGCGGCTGGGCATGCTCAACGAGAAGTTCAAGTTCGGCAAGTGGGAGTTCGGGCCAAGCCTAGTCTTCACCGGCGGCGAGGTTGAGCAGTCCCTGAGCACCCACGCGATCACCATCAAGTTCGAGAAGTACCTGCACGCGGTGAAACCCATCACCGTGGAGAAGCACCGGCGGGCAGATCCCACCAGTGCGCTGTCGCCGAAGGAGCTCACCAATTTCAGGACCCTGGACGGCCAGCTGCAGTGGCCGGCAGCCCAGGGGGTTATCATCGCGGCGGCGACCGTATCGTTCAGAGCCGCAGCGACTGGACATGCGACGATGCAGGACTTGCTGGACGCGAACAAAAAAAATACGGCTCCTGAAGGCCAACGCGGACGTGGGATTGTACTTCGGCTTCGACAGGCCGTGGAGTGAGTTACGCGTTGGAAGCTACTCAGATGCTAGCTGGGCCAGCCGACCTGACGGAAGTTCCCAAGGAGGCTATCAGATCTTCGTCGGACCCGAGGACGAGCTCAACGCCGGCACCCCGACACCGTTCGTGGCCATGGAGTGGGCCTCGAAGAACCTGGCGCGGTTGTGCAGGAGCTCGCTGTCCGCCGAGGCACAAGCCGCGGCGATGGGAGCCGACTCGCTGATGTGGTTGAAGGCCTTCTTGGCCCTGAGTCTGAGGCCCGACCTCGGACATGGCGCCGCCATGACATACCTCGGAGAGTCGCCGTTCATCACGGACGCGAAGTGCCTCTACGACGCCTCGCGGTCAGCTACGGCGGGGTTGGGCATCACAGAAAAGAGGACGGCCATCGAGGTGAAGATCGTGAACGAGCAGCTGGCAGAGGTCAACGCTAGGTGAAGTGGGTGAACACTCAGCAGCAGATGGCAGACGGACTCACCAAGCTTTCGGCACGCCAGATGATGGCGGATGTGTTACGCCGTGGAGTTCATGCCTTGCTATACGACCCCGACTTCGTGGCCGGCAAGAAACTCACCAAGCGCGCGATGGAGCAACGCGAGAAGGAGCTGGACCAGGCAGGAGAAGAGTTGCTCGGCACTTTCGAGAAAGAGCCCGTGGCGAAGGCGAGCGAAGGCGAAGGCTAAGGCCAGGACGCGTCATTTTGGTGCGAGTGGAGCTCGTTTGGCAGCTACGTTGGCGGCTACGAGAGCGACTGGCTCTGGAGCTGAGGTGGTACAGTATACGCCCAGCGGCGTCGAGCTGTTCCACCCACCGACCAACGACGGCTGGGACAACCTGCTGGTGAGGCTGGCCATGTTCGGATTCATGATGGCGATGCTCATGGCTTTTGGCTGTGGATTCTGGGTCGGCACCTGGTGGACGCGCTGGACTACGACGGGCGCTGAGCAGAAGAGCATCAGGCCGCGTGAGCCTGAGACCGAGCCGAACCCCAATAAGACGGAGAAGCACTACGTCGAGGGGACCGAGAGGATGACGACAGGTGTGAACACCAAGCAGCCACGCCAAAAGAAGGTGCGCCACATGATGTGCCAGGCGCAATGCCGCTACAACCAGGACACGCAGACGCCGAGGTTCCAGCCGCTGCCCGAGTACGCGCACGGAGCTTTCATCGGATAGAGGACGACGAAGGGGACCCAGCCTACGGCTACGTGGCGGCGGTGCCGCATGAGCTGATGTGCATCGTGATGCACAACTACGTGAGCGCCCACGAGGCGCGGACTTGCTTGCCTGGCGAGATCGACCGATCGCCCGGCGTGCTGAAATAATTAAGGAGATGTATGTCGCTGACGCGACCGCCGGTATGTTTCACATTCGAGTTTTACTGGTTTGTGCAGGGGACCTGCGGTGACAGTGATGCTTATCTGTGGTTTTGTTTCGGTCTCGTTCCCGAAAGCTTGGAGTTTTCAGCTTTAGTTTGAGTTCGCCGTTTGAGTCTCCTGGTAAACGTCCGGGGAACCCTGAGTTTAGGCAGCGTGGTTTGTAATGTATCTGTGCTAACTCCTTTTTTCCGCCCGTGTCAATTTCACCCACGTTTCATTGAGTTTTATGTGTGTACGCTGTGTTCGTTTGCATTGATTATTAGCACAGTGTTTGATTATGGTTGGACCGCTGCCGTTTGATGTTCAGGGGCCCCTGAGTCACAGGAAAAGGTTGCGTATTCTTTCCCAGATTATCGAGATAATCAGATCACGTACATCCCGAGACAGACTTAGTGTGCTGCCATCGGTTGAGACTTGGGGCCCTCTTGGGGGCCTCTTGGGCCATCTTGGGGCGATCTTTGGGGCCTCTTGGGCCGTCTTGAACGCTGATATGACCGAAGAAGCGAATATGCAAACATTGTACCTTTTCCGAACGGTATGAAACGCATTTTACCTTTGGGGGGCCCTCTGGGGGGCCTTTTGGGCCGTTTTGACGGCCTCTTAGGCCGTATGGAGGCTATCTTGGGCTATCTTGGAGCATTCTTGGGCCATCTTGTGGCTCTCGCGGGCCTCTCTGATGCCGTCTTGCGCCAACGTGGGGGCCCCTTGGGACATCTCGGAACCCCCCGGTGCGCCCTGGGGCCGCCCAGGGAGCCCCCCGGGACCGCTCAGAGCCGCCTGGAGCCCCCATGCGAGCCCGGTGTCGCGGTCCAGCCCCCCCCCCGGTCTACTCCGATATATATATATATATATATATATATATATAATATATCGGGGGGCGCGCGCGCTTCGCGCGCGCTCAGGTTCTAGCCCAGGCCGGGGGGGCGCTGGACGATCTTGGACAACGCTATCAAGCACAGGCGCACGACGGCATCTGAGGAGCTTCTGGGGTGTTCCGCATGCTTCGTCAACTGTCTGTTGGAGGCACCTCTTGGATGCCTCTTGGGGGGGCGTCTGAGGGTGCATTGGGGGCATCGGTTCTGCAATCTGAAGCCGTCATTGGCAGTCTTGGCTGCGTGGAGGCCCGACTTGAGGCCACCTGCGGCCAGATTGAGGCAATCCGGAAGCCTCCAGGGGGCCTCCTGGAAGCTGTTTTGACGCATCGAGGGCACTTTTGGGCTATTTTAAAACCTCTTGGACGTCTCCTAAGGGCCTTTTGGGCCCTCGGGAAGCTTTTGGGGTCCTCTTGCGGCCTCCTGTGGGCCTTTTGGGGGGAACGCTCTGCTGTTGGGTCGCGTTCCCCTTCTTGGGCCTCTCTTGGGGCTCTTGGGGCCCTCTCGGGCCGTCTTGGGCGCCTCAAGCACCGTCTTGGGGCCCTCGCGGGCCGTCTTGGGGCCCTTTTGTAGGCCTCTTCCTCTATATTGGAGCGGTAGTGGAAGCCTCTTGGGCCGTCTTGGAGCGTCGGGATGCCGAAAGGCAGAAAAAATCAAACCCGTCAAATCCCAATCGTAAAACAATGAGTTGTGCCTCTTGGGGCCACCTTGGGAGATCTCTTGGAACCTCGTCGGCCCTCTTGGGAGCTTCTTGGGGGCCTCTTGGATCCGATTGGGGGCCTCTTGGGACTTCGAGAACCTCTCGGGGTAGAAAGCTCGGATTCTCGGTTCGTGTTTCCCTTCTTGGGCCTCTCTTGGGGCCGTCTTGGGGCCCTCTCGGGCCTTCTTGGGCGCCTCAGGCACCGCCTTGGGGCCCTGGTGGGCTGCCAAGGGCCCTCTTGGAAGCCTCTTCGGCTATCTTGGAGCTGTCTTGGAGGCCTCTTCCTCCTCCTCGTCCCCCTCCTCCTCCTCCTCCCACTCCAGCTCTCTCTCCTCCTGATCTTCCTCCTCCTCCTGCAGCGTGTTCCGGAAGGCTCCCGCCGGAACATGCTGTGCACAAGTGCGGTCACTGCTCCCGCCACAGTGCCCTGGGTGGTGGGTCAGAGGCCTCATGGGTGTTGGTTTGGATCTCGTGGTTCGCCTGCCGGGGACGTCGTGAAGGCAATTTCGCAGCTTCTCGGTAGCCGCTTTGGGACCGTTGTGGGGCCTCCTCGGGGCTGTTGTGGCCTCTTTAAGCATCGTTTGGGCCTCCTGGGTGCCTCTTGAGGGCCTCCTGGGGCCTCTTGGGGGCTCCTTGGGGCCTCCTTGGGTACTCTTCAAGCGGGAGGGTCGAATTTCGGAGTCGTGGTCCCCCTCTTGGGCGCATCTTGGGGCTGTCTTGGGGCTCTGTTGTGCTGTCTTGGGCGACTCTGGGACCGTCTTGGGGCCCTCTTGGGCCGTCTTGGGGCGCTCTTGGGGGCCTATTGAGCCGTCTTGGAACGTCGGACAGCCGAAAAGGCTGGAAGGCCAAAATCGTTCGAAAACCTTCGTAAAATTAACGATTTCGGCCCTCTTGAAGCGCTGTGGAGAGGCGTCTTGAAACGTCGTGGAGTGCCATGGGGGGCCTCTGGGCCGTCTTGGGCCTACCTTGGGCGTTCTGGAGCGGTCTTTCGGCGACTCGGGGCCCGCTTGGGCCGTCTTGGGAGCCTCTGGAGGCCTTCCTGGACTATTCTGGACCTCCCGGGCCGCCCCGCCCTCCCGCGGGGGGTCGGAGGCGGCGGCCTCCGAGGCCCAGGACGCGGAAACCCTGTAAAAACAGCCACGGAGAGTTCGAAGAGGGCCCCAAGACGGCTCAAGTGGGGTTCAGGAGTGACCTAGAGGTCCCAAGACAGCCCAAGAAGGCTCCAGGACCGCTCCCAGAAAGGGCTCACAGGGGTACCCGACCTGACATTTCCAGCCTTCCTCCCCAAAGAGAGCCCTAGGAGACCCGAAGAAGGCCCCCCAAAGCATCCAGAATGCCCCAAGAGGCCCCCCACAGGCCCCCAAGAGGCCTCCAAGAGGCCCCCAGGAAGCCGAAGATGGTCCGCAGACAGCCCACAAAACCGCCCAAGACGGCCCAAGAGGCATCCAAGAGGACTCCCCAAGAGGGCCCGCAGAAGCAAAAATGGCCCCACTCCCTTCGGAAAACGAATTTTTTTGCAATATTCGCCCAGAGGCCTCCAAGCTCGCGCCAAGACGGCCCCAGAGAGCCCCAAGAGGGTCCCAGAGGGCCCCCAAATCGCACCAGACGGCCAAAGAGAGGTCCAAGAGGGCCCCAAGACGGCTCAAGTGGGGTTCAGGAGTGACCTAGAGGCCCCGAAGACAGCCCAAGAAGGCCCCAGGACCGCTCCCAGAAAGAGCTCACAGGGGTACCCGACCTGACATTTCCAGCCTTCCTCCCCAAAGAGAGCCCTAGGAGACCCCAAGAAGGCTCCCAAAAGCATCCAGAATGCTCCAAGGGGCCCCCCACAGGCCCCCAAGAGGCCTCCAAGAGGCCCCCAGGCAGCCGAAGATGGTCCGCGGACAGCCCCCAAACCGCCCAAGACGGCCCAAGACCCGAGGGGCGACCGGGGCGGGGACGGCGTCGACGACGACGACGCCGACGACGACGACGACAACGACGACGGCGGAGAATTCTCTCTGGGATCCGAGGGCCTCTGCGCTGGCCCGGGGCGGGAGGTGCCACCGCAGGAGGGCCACGGCGCGCATGGCGTCCAGGAGGCCGTTTTCTTGGACCGGCGGCGGCGGCGGTCCGAAGTGCGGCTTGTCCGCACCGTCCGTTGTGAGGTTCCTCGGGGCTGTTCGGGAGCCTCTTGAAGCCTCGTTTGGGCCTCCTGGGTGCCTCTTGGGGGTCTCCTGGGGCCTCTTGGGGCCCCTTTGGGGCCTCCCGGGGCCCTGTGGGGGCGGGAGGCTCGAATTTCCGGTTCGCGGGTCCCCTCTTGGGGCCCTCTTGGGGCCGTCTTGGGCCTCTCTTCGCCCGTCTTGGGCGCGTCTTGGCCCGTCTTGGGGCCCTCCAGAGCCCAACAAGGAATCAAATCTGTCTCCGTGCCTCATTCGCCAGAAGAGCGCTGAAACCGATTGCGGGAACCACTCGAAGTCGGCAAGGCCGAAACTGCTCTTCTGCAGCTGCGTCGGCGAAGCCCTGCGCAACGGGCTGGAAGTGACCGAGATAATCGTGCCACCTCTGCTTTGCGTCCCAGCTGGTAGGCCTGGGGCAGCTCAAGTGTAACATCCTATCTCCATGCTACTATGCGGTCACCTTCAAACTCGATATCGGATCCGAAGTTGAAGCCCCGGAGAACTATTAGTGTTCGATCAGCTCGATGCTGGTAGCCCGCTGAAGGCTCCATTGCCGACGTAAAAAATTGCGTCTCCTGCGGCATGACTTGCACAAGGTGAGCGCATGCATGATTTGATGTGCTCCTTATGTTTGATCTAGCGCGTTCTCCACCGCATTCAGCAGCCCGGCGCGTAGGGTACCGCGGCGGAAGGAGTCCATGAATGCCCCACGATTCAATTTATTGGGCTGGTCGGCGTATCCATCGCGAAACGAAACATTGAAATGGATTATGACCACAGACGCATTCCAGATAACAAGCCACACGAACGTGGACGGAAATGTGGTCTCGATGATGAATGAATGGTGCGCTCTGAAGTTTCGACGCTGATCGTCGTAATGGTCCTGCTCCTTTGTTAGCATACGTTTCTTAACATCTCGGAATAAGAACGGTATCCACTTGAGAGCTCGTGCCCGCAGTATGGTAAAACATCGGCCCAATACTGCTGAAAGTGCTGATTGGGATCATGTCCAGCTGCTCAAAAAGGAAAGCGTGCGTCCGCGCCATATCTCTGACGAGCGGTTGGTGCC